AGCAGCTACAGTGAAGTGCCACGCTTTGGTCACACTATAGTTGCACATTCAAACTACATTTGGATCTATGGGGGGTACTCTATGGCATATGGTATTTTAGATACTATTTATAGATATGATGTCATAGACAATACCATGAGTCATGTGATCACTAACCAACTTCCTCCAACTGAACCAAAGGGAAGGTTCCTCCACTGTGCTGTTCTTCATCAGGTAAAGTAAATCGCGGCTTTGTTCATTGCTTTATTTTTCCATCAACTCATTCTCAGTGCTTTCCAATTAATTCATTTCTAATTGATTTTTTACTTTTCGTTCTTCGAACTATTTCTTTCTTTACTCATTCTTTTTTTCACTTTTTCCATCCCTCCACTTTTGTGTCATGCATTCAGTTTTTAATCTAGTCCTTGGTTTTCCCACCCATCCGTTCACCACTTCATAATCTCATTCAATCAAACCTTTCATCTATCTACTCACTCCTTCATTCCTACAGGTTTCATGGTTTGTGTACGGCGGTTTAACAAAAGATGGTGCGTCTAACGAGATGTGGTATTTCGATATCAAACTGACTAAATGGAGTAAAGAAACGGTAARAATATCTCTGGCTTTGTTGCATCGATCCTTTTTTGAATCTCGAAGTAATATAAGTGCAATTGTTCTGTTCTCAGCCTAATTCTGGTGTTAATAATCCCAAAGTTGCAGGCCACACTTGTACTCTTGTAAACAATGCTATTACARTTATTGGAGGATATGACCCTATGACAGGTTTCAATAGTGAAGTCTACCAATACAACATTCCTGGTAAAAGCTGGAGTGTGATGCAACCCTTGAAGCAAGGGACTAACCCTACTGGTATGTTTGCCACTTTCCTTCCTTTTCTCTTGTCGTCTGTTTTTATCCATTACCCACATTCTTTCATTTCCTTTTGAAATCCAATGCTTTTTTATTTTCTCGCTCGATTCCTTTTTTCGGGGYTTCGTACTCTAATGYATTCTTACCTTAACCTCTCATAGGACTGTATGGCCATWCAACTGTCTATCACTCTAGTAGTCAATCTCTGTTTGTATTTGGTGGATATCAGTTCAAAGTACATGAGGTTAAGCCATCTTCAGACTTGTACACCCTGCATCTACCGAGCAGAGAGTGGAAATTACTCCAAGCAATGCCATCTAATCAGGTTTTGTCATCATTCATATACATTGAGCACTACAATGTTCAAAGAGTCGCTCCTTTAGTTGTACTTTTGTCGAGTTAAAATTTTTTSAGCAATTCGCTTTATTTTTTACTTGCTGAATAAATAATAACCGAATGACAGAGAATAACTATTACATTTTTTACCAACGATGATTAGTGAGAATTTTTGACTTATTTTATAGCCAATGCCAAAGTTTTTTCACTCTGCTGWAATGGTTGGTGATGCTATGGTTGTTTATGGTGGACGTTCAAGTACGAGTCAGCAGTCTTCCTCTGAGTTATTGGTCTATAAGGTTAACTGTAACTACTGGCATACTCTGAGCAAACAAGGTGAGAACTGGAATAATCCTTTTTTTTCGGTTTCCATTCATTTTCTCCTTTCATTCATTTTATTTGTTCATTCATTTGTACTTTCATTCATTTGACAATTATTGCATTTTAAGATTCTGCAGTGCTTGGGTCTTCTCCTGGAGGAATAGTCAGTACAGCGTCATCTTCTAACAACAGCATTATTTTMATCTTCGGGGGACTCGTTGGCCAGGCCAAGGGCTCGTTACACAAGTTCAAATTACCGTCTGACCTTTGTCAAGGAATGCGTGTCAAGAATACATGTTCCTCAACTCCCGGATGCAGCTGGTGTGAAATTCATTACTCAAACAGCTCATCCAATCAATCATATRTACAAAGTWCGACTTGTTACTCCGTCACGTCATCTGTTCCCKCATCTTGTCACGCATCCTCAAATGTAACGCAAATATCATTTGTAAACGGCACCCAGTGTARCAGTGCGACTGCTCAACAAAGAGACTGTAACACTTACACRTCATGCTCTTCTTGCCTGTCCTCATATCCTGATTCCCAGTCAARCTCAAYCAGGTGCAAYTGGTGTGTACAGTGTTCAGGGGGAGGCAAGTGTATTGAYAAAGTCAARGAGTGTGAYAGTACATCTTCTTGTGGAATYTCATCTCCCAAGCGTACCTCCCCCGGATCATGTCCTGAAAATACTTGCGAGGCGTCAAAATGTAAAGACTGTGTTAGCGACAATAAATGCATGTGGACGCCTCAACTAAAATGGCTGAATGATATCAAGGTGAAGGAATCATCRAGYGGTGYTGCTTTTTCCTGGAATTGTTTTGAGAGRACTYTGAAAGACAAGTATACAAGCATTAATTTGGCTTATACGGGTATAGCTGAGTGTCCAAAGAGCTGTGCAATACACAAAGATTGTCGCTCCTGTTTAGCATATACAGGTAGATACAGCAAGAACTATAACTGTACTAATTCATTTTGGTTTCTATTTGATCGCTAGAGAGATCTGTAAACTMATCTGTGAATTTTCAGAGTTCGTTCGATTTTGAGGAATGGGTRTAGAAAGCAGTTTTCAGTTTTGATTGACGGTAGCAAGAAAGGTGGTTGAAAATTACAATCAGTAATGATGACAATTTTATCCACACAATRATGACGAAGATGTTAATAATCTTCAAATCAGGAATTATTCAAATACTGCCAAATGGCCACTTTCTCACAGTATGATTTCTTGTTTATACAGAAGGTGATGGTGGCTGGAAGGAGTGTATTTGGAGTGAATCACAAGGAAAGTGTTACTCACCATCATATCTCCCCATGGTCGAGTTAGGAGGWGTAGCTGGTCGAATTGTGAGGGGTTCACCCGACAAGTGTATSCCTCCTTGTGCTCACCACGACCGCTGTTCTTCTTGTTTTTCTGCRTATAACTGTGGATGGTGTTCAAATCCGAACTCAAACGGACTGGGTGCTTGCATGGAGGGAGGTGTTAGCGGTGAGTTGTCACGAAATCGATGAAGTGCATAACGATGAAAGAGCAACATAGTTAAGGAAACGTAAAATWTATACGAACCAAGCAATACTTTTCAATGGCGTTTATAAAAGACACTAATAGTTACTATTTTAGTTGTACATATCAATGTTATTTCTTGAATTAGGTCCGTTATATGGTACCTGCCAAGGGAACACTATTGACACTGGTCCGCAAACACCCTCCAATTTGTCCAAGAAAATTACCATTTCGGCAACTCCTGTTTGGGCATCAGTGTTGTGTCCTGTTGAGAATGAGTGCACCAATGGCCGTAACAACTGCTCATATACAGAAGATTGTATTGACACACCAGAATCATACAAATGTCTCTGCAAACCTGGATACAAGAGGGAATGGTAGGCGTTGTCTTACAATTTTTTATGATTTGATGTGTCATTTTACATGTTTTATTATAGTCATGTTTGTTATAATTGTTAATATTATATTTTATTTTAATCATCGTAATTAACCATTTACTCCCATTCGGTATTAGGAACGTATGTGTACCCATCTGTGAAGGTGGCTGTGGTCACGGAGTGTGCGTGACACCAAATAATTGCTCCTGTAACTTTGGCTGGACGTCACGTAACTGTTCCATTCGTTGTCATTGTAATAACCATGGACACTGTCTTAGTGAAAACAGTCTGGACACTTGYTACGATTGTCGTAATAACACAAAGGTGCGTTGTTTTGGCTACTCATTGTCACGCAATCTTAGCACTCTTCTGGAAGATCCCACTACAAATATTGTTACTTCGTCAAGTATTGCTACGTCGAAAAATTCCATTCACCTTGGTTAAGATGATTCCCCACGATACTCATTAGTACAATTTATTTATCAAGATTTTKTAACGCATTCCTCRYCATCCACGTTGTCACGCATTCTAACAGTCACGTTGTATTGATATGTTAGGGAAAAAGCTGCGAGCTGTGTTCTCCTCTGTTCGTTGGTAGCGCTACTAACAATGGTTCATGCATATCTTGCTATGACGTCTGCAACAAAAGTGCATATGTCTGCATGGGTCTAGATGACTTGATACGTGCACAGAATCAAAGCCTGTCATTGAAATATGACGATGTAAGTATATTRGGTTACCTATTTTAAGCGTCAAGAGAGTGAGGCTGGTGCTTAAATACACAAACAGCTTTCTTCCTTATTTTAGGGATTCCTGTGTTATTCATCTCATTTGGTGTTTTTGTGTCCTTCGTAGCAGACATTCCTTTGATTGAAACAAACTCATATACCCTTCTTCTTTTTTCTTTTGCAGGTTGCCAAATGGCTCAACCACGGTCCTACTAAAATCAGTAAAGACAAGGAATGTATTTGCCTTAAAAACTCAAAAGGTTTAAAGTGTAAAAGCTGCATTAAAGGGCATTTCTTCCCAAATGATATTATTTCATCATACTGCACACCGTGAGTATACCAGTACCTTGTTATTTCCTTTCGATTTTCTTCTCATTACTTTCCATTTCTTTTATTCTCTTTTTCTTTACGTCCTTATTRTTATCCGTTTTCCTTCGTTTTCGCTGTGACTGTCGCTGTTCTTTGCTTATTTGCCTTATGAATGTCACTAGTGACAAACTATTCTCCTATTTGTCCAGTTCTCTTTTTGTTCCAAGYACCACAGAGCTACCTATACTTTAGCTTGCTTGTCTAATGCTCTTACTGTCTTATCCTTATTTAGTTGTCTGTGTAATGGACACGGGGATGTTTGTAACGATAAAACTGGGAATTGCGAATGTCAAAATCATACACTAGCCGATTGTAGCAGTGGTGATGAYCCCTGTTACAAAAGACAGGTAAGAAASTAGATCTTACTTATTTTCATTGTATGTTTCTGATTGTATGCCTCTTTGAACGTTTTCCATTTTTTCTTCTCCGGCTTATCTATCTTCCTGCTTTTGAGATGGTTCATTGATTCAGTCATTTCTTTCCGTGTCTACCATTTGCATTCCCTATATTCATTCTGTCTATTTGTACTRACACTACTTTCCTCTGCAGTGCTATAAGTGTGAAGATAACTACCTTGGACGGCCGTGGGACAACCGTCAATGTTACTCCAAAGTCATCCACTTAACCGATTTTGCCATTAGCTCTAAGCCTGGATCTGTCACTGAAGARAGCAGTTACCCACCCCTCCCTAAAGGCATGGCTATCAGCTATGTGGTATATCCTAGATACACTAACGTTGATATAAGAACAACTATCGACGTATTCCAAGGTGGAGTTGACGTCTACGTATCTACGCACGACCGTACGTTTGCWGTGTACGTAAAYAAAACTACTGGACAGCACACGGTTGTTATCACGCGGGAGGACCGTACTCGTCGTAGCGTCGATGATCTCAAAGGATCACCTGATATCACGGTTTTTGCTGGCAAAAACAAGTTGAATACGTTTGTGTCATTGGATTCTCCAACCCATATCRTTCGCATTAAAGCGGTTGAAAATCGTTTAGTRTTGACATTTCCCTATTCTAAGCATCGTCTTCGAAATAGTCGGTTCTATCTTATGGTGATGGGTGTYGGCGATRATWCACATGAYGATACYACKGGTATTATCTACTTTCGACAAGACTTGTCMCAGATTGATCTGTTTGTCTTCTTTTCTGTTTTCTTCTCCGTTTTCTTCCTTGTACTTGCTCTTTGCATTGTCGCGTGGAAGGTGAAGCAGTTTCATGACAGACGAAGGATTGCTCAGGTACAGGAACGTGAGCTAGAAAGCATGGCAAGCCGACCTTTYGCCACTTACTCATTCCTAACAGATATGAAGACTGCTCCACAAAGCTGCTGGAAAATCAAGAGAGACAACTCAAGGCGTAACTTACGAGACCGTAAAAATCATCTTCTTCTTAAGGAAGCTTCTCACCGACCCTTCATCTCGCCAGTTGCTCTCCAATCCACGGAAGACACCAGGGCAGCSGTTGCGTCCGTAATGTTCCAGCTGCCTAGAAACGAGAATTCCGATTTTCAGCTTGCTTTTGGATCGGTTATTAGTACTAATAGCAATCAGCATTCTATAGGGTCGTTATTTGGATATCCTTTGTTAACTGGACATAAAACAAGACATACAACAATCACTAGCTAGCACACCCAGATTTGGTCACTACGTATTTAGTACCAGGTGAATTATTAGATATTGCACGCAAGCACATTTTATTAATACATAAATGAGGTCCTATGTATATGATACCTAGGTAGAATTTGTCGTAAACTGGTAAACACGGCACCGTGAAACAGTTACTACCGTGAAACAGTTACTCTAACTTTTATAAATATTTGTACAGAAAGGCTTGTGTAGGTAGAATCGATATTGTGAATTTATCAAATACAACATAATGACACAATTACTATAGCAGACATCCGTTCATAAATATTAAGGTTTGATGTGTCTTTCCTTGGCAGAGCGACTAAATTTATAAACGCAGTCCTTAGATGAAGATCTAGTTTGCACTGTTTAACATGGAATCTACAGTTTATCAGTAATACCAACCTTTCTTTTTTCAAGTTGTTCCCATCATTTTGGTATATACTACCTCATGAAATTGTAACGTTTTTATACGTTTTTTAGTGAACGGTTTCTGTTAAGTCATAGTTGAGGGTAGTAGAGTATTGGGCAACAAAATGGGATATTTTTTAATTTAAATATTCATAAATTCATTTTTAAAAGTTTTCGCATTGTACGATAAGTCATTAGTGAAGACGCCGCAAAGRCCGCGCGGCGCAAAAAATAATAATGCGTTAGTCARATGAACACAAGAAGCAACAATGAGATTAGAGCAGCTAGACTCRATTTTCAGCTGGCGGGATTTTATACGCGCCTGCGGTACTTTCTTAGAAATCTGGACGGCTGAAGACTRAGGCTAGTTAGAGCTAGAACTTCAAGGATTCCTTCCTCTAATAGTTCTCACTTGTTATTTGSGTTCTTTCTACAATAGGGTAATTTCCACATATTGTACCTTTTTATAATATATAATATAAATGTCACACCTCTAGCAAATTACATAGTGTGAAATAAAACAAATATCGATRCTGAATTTGTACATAAAGAAGAAAAGAATTAAAAATAGGCACGTTGGTATAAACTTGTGGAATTGTTGTGATTTAAATAGTGCATAGATCTATGTCGTAGACCCGCTGGTAGTTTGGTAAAGAAGACGTGCAATGACGCCCCATGCCTTCAGCAACCCGCCCTTCTAACGAGATARATATGACCTTGACAATTAGGAAAATTGATGTATATTGGACCCCTCATTGWGCGGTTCATTTCTAACTGCATGTGCCCGCAGTTACAAATCCTGGCCTTGCCAGAGGAAATAATAATACGYTAAGGCCGATTTATCGGATGGGACTTGTCGCGCGCGAGTTACAGAATCGTACCCTGTAATTGGTCATACGGCTGGACTCGTGTTCGTGTCCCAAATATTTGAACCCAGGCTCAAAATCCTACGACATGCCATAAGGGTGCGCTGAAAATCACATCGTGTAAATCGGCTTTAAGGCCATCCTAAAAATAGTGATACACCTGTTCAGAAATATAGTAATGTCTGCAAATGATGTGGCCTAGCTTGGCTTAGGGTTCTAGTCGGTAAAATTTCCCACATACATGCTGAGCAATCATARATGCAATTTTCATTTATTTTGACATCGGTCTCCACGATGCCAGGTTTAATAATATTTTAATTATTGTTTTGTGTATTTTTAATTAATGTTAGTTACTCAAGACCATAACTGTCAGAGGGTTTCAGCCCTGGAATCTTAGCACTGACTTCTAAATTATCTAATCGAAACTCTGAAAAAAAAAAGAAAATAAAACTGACAAAAAGCGATTCCGAAATTAAAAAAGTTGTTCCTGCAGATGTGAGCAACAATCTCCATTCGCATTGGTTCCTTAGTAAAGAAAACTATAAAATGAGATTTATCGATAATGGAAATGAATAAGGAAACCAACTGAGAAATCATCACTAGTTTTGCATTAATTTCCTGTTCGTTTTCTTTTTTGATCGTTTATTATAAAGTTAACAGTATCGTGTACTCTTATCATAGTTTGTTATGTCTTCGGTRCGTATGTACTGTATCCGCAATGCTTACGCTGCACGCGTGACTTGTCATGCAGTCAGTAGTTCAATACATCKACGGGTAGTGTTCCCTTTCAACATCGTGATAACTCATTGTGTATGCTGATCAACTCACAGTTTGCGCAAATTGCTTTAACGACGCGTAATCCTGTCAAGAACATCTTGAAAGGAAAAGCTCTCGCGCTCCTTGTCTTCATAATTGATGTACAACACACCCTAAAAATCGACTGTAAGTAAAAATGGCTGGGAAGAAGAGAGATTTGATCGTTGCTATCGACTTTGGTACTACGTACAGTGGTTTTGCCTTCGCACCAGTTAACGCGATTGAAGAGAGTGATATMCATGTATTTCGCGGCTGGGGACGTGGACAAGGTTTTAGCTTCTTTAAGACTCCAACTTGTGTCTTGCTCACRCCCGAAGGAGATTTTTACAAATTTGGCCATGCAGCTGTCGAAACGTATGCAAAGCACTTGGCAAGGAACGAGGGRAAGGATTTACTCTTTTTTGATCGCTTTAAATTTGTCCTCTACAATTCCAAGGTACGTGTATGAGTTTGATTTRCGTTTTTATTGCTTTATTATGGTTTTACTATCGCGGAAAAATTAAGCGTGCAGTGCAAGGAATCAGATAAAGAGTTTTTTTATGTTGATTGGCAAGAAATCATAAACGTTTTTGATTCATATTTTTGGTGAAATCATGCAAGCCGACGCTTGCTCCAGCTGAGGGAAATAAAAGCTCGCTATTCACAGCGAGTGATTATTTTGTTTATATTTTAAAGACTGTAATATTTATTATTGGTCACTTGGGCTATTTATAATAAACCTAGAACTTTCCTGTGTTATCATTCAGATCGAAGGTAGTATGTTTTACATCAGTCTTCCGCGGTTCACTCGGGGGAAACATATRCATATGGCTATTGACAACCGAACATTTGATCGATCGAATGTTCGATTTGCGCCAGAYTGTATTATTCTAGAATTTTAATAYGCCCTCACTTTTAAATTTGATCCTGTCAAAAACTCACGACAATCAATTCGTTCTTGTCATCTCGACAGAAACAGAACACGAGTATATATATTTATGTAAAGCGATTATTTCAGAGGCATAGCTTTATTTTAAGGTTTTTATTCACAGAAATTCCAAGTCCAAGTTCATCTATTATTTACGTGTAGCCAATTACGGTCATCGTATGCCAAGTGCATTATCTTTSGTTATTTGCCTATTCAATTAAGCGGTATTATTTTATTAATGGCTGTGCTTATAAATACCCTTAGCGCATTGCAGCGTGACATCCTTGTCACATAATGCTTATCACCGACCGTCACGCAAATGCGCAAATCGTTTATAAAAGTATATTGCAAACTTTTCTTTTGCATTATCACAATACGATACGTACTACAAATCTATATTTTGAATCACATTGATAGACACGTTCAATGTTTTCAGTTTTGTAAGATTATAAGTGGATATTTAGCGTGTTTAGCATRCCATGGAGGACGCGTGCCTAGACATTGTTAGTGACCCTTCAACCTTGCCCAATATATATCCTCCCTTCCATTAGGATGATTTTGGGAAACACMAAGTACTACCATTATGATAATTAATTTGATGACATCATAAGGTACGCTTTATAAAATAAATTATTATCAAATTTTATTATGACTGCTAACAACCCTTTTCTACAATTGTAGAAGATTGTCAGTTGGTCACCCAGTAAATGATTTTTTTTACAAAAAAAGTTGGAATTATTAAATAGAACAACTTCGTATATTGAATAAACGTCATTCATGACGTCATCAAACTAGAAAAAAAGGCATCCGTTATTAATGTACGGGAATGACCACCAATGAGTTTTGTGGTCCTTTTTATATKATTGAAATAAACAGCAATATTTCTTTTCAATGTAGTTTCAATTTCACGGTAGTTTCAATTTCACGGGTTAACCTCATCGCCACGCCCAGAACTCGGATCCCGGGCTTCTTGATCGTGAAAGTCACGAGTTCCTGGACTAATAKAAGTGTATGTGCATTAGACATCGATGAAATGAATATTTCGGACTATGCCAMAAAACAAGCAWTGTACTTATTTACTACTCTAAGAGCACGTCCAGTTTAATGCATATTTCACAATGGCTTGTCAAGGATATAATAAGACGTGATCTTAGGAACGCAGCGAGGGCTACTTAGAGACCAATATAAACATCACACGAACAGCCAATTGAAACAACTGATCAGTTCATTATGACTAATGTATATTTGTTTTCTTATTAAACGCGTCTATTTGCCGATGTCAAGTGTGTACTYAGACCACTTCGCACGTTATTTGCGTAGATTGGATTAAAGATAGACTTATATTCCAGAGACTTCTTAAAAACACCAATAATTAAATAACTATTTTTTGGGCATTGGCGGTTTAACAGCTGTCGTATTGTAAAAATTCTGATCTGATGATCTAATTCCAGACCTCTTCATGTGAACGCGCAAGCGTAAACGCATTAAGACAGCACGTACTGACATTGATTATACCCTAATTATTCCAGAATCTCAATCAAGAGACGMGAGTACAGGCCGCGAACGGACGTAAAGTTCGAGCGCTTGATCTCTTTGCGGTTTGYCTGGCATATTTACGTCAAACTGCCATGGAAACGATGAATAGTTCGCGCCAAAGTAAAAACGGTACGGATGATGCACCAAAATACTCACTAAACCAAATCCAGTGGGTTCTAACAGTACCGGCKATATGGAATCCTACTGCTAAAGAATTCATGAGAGAAGCAGCATACATGGTAAATACTTATAATATATTTATTTTATTCGCGCAAATGAAAAAAAACGTATCAAGGGGGGTGCACACTCAAGAAATGACGTCATATATATATAATCAGAATGCAAGTCAAATACTGGCAGTTCAGGGGGGTGCGCACAATTCTCATACTTGATTAGGGATACAGACTTGCATGCCCACCACACAAAACTACTAGAAAATGATGAGTACATTCCGTATCTAGGGTGGTTTAGCGTCTGCTGATGACCCCGATCAGCTTCTTATCGCTCTTGAACCCGAGGCAGCGTCATTCTACTGCCGAAGACTACAAATGAAGGACTTTCTAGGGGAGACAGGGGAAAATCTTGTCAGCGAAATGCTAAGAAAAACGTCAAACTCGTACATGGTGATTGACAATGGAGGTAAGCTTAAATTTGACTTTACTGGTGTTGTTTTTACGTTTGATGATGTCCATTTCACGGGTTTTTCGAAAGGGCTGGAACACTATTTCACGGATTGCGTGATGTCGCCACAATTCTAATCAGTGGTTTTTCGCCTTTCTATCTGTTCAAAGGTGGGACTCTGGACATAACGGCGCATCAAATACAAAGAGAAGGCAGTATTAAGGAGATTCACCCRCCAGCTGGGGGGCAACTTGGTGGTGTACTAGTCGACAAGGAGTTTGTTGGCATGTTAAAGAGAATATTCGGTGAAGATTTTATTCAATTATTTCAACGAGATTATCCAAACGACTGGCAGAAGATTATGAACGACTTTGAAATCCAAAAGCGAGCTGAACGAGGGATCGATAGTGATGAAATTAGCATAGTTCTTCCTTTCAACTTTGTCAATTCCTACAGTAAGGTCATAGGAACGGACGACAACATCAACGAAAACCTTCGATTGTACTACACCCAGGGGGAGGTAAGCCTCGGTGGCGGGTATTTGTACGTTGATTTATCAATCCTAGAACAATTCTACCAGCCTGTCATTGAGAAAACAATCGACATGGTCAAGAGTATTCTACAAAAAGACAAACTCTCAGATGTGAAAACATTGTTCCTTGTTGGTGGATTCTCGCAAGCCTTTCCAATACGTAAAGCTATCATGGAAGCGTTCCCGGATTTTGAAGTTCTGACGCCGCGTGAAGGCGAACTTGCGATAATGAAGGGTGCGGTCATGTTTGCGCAAAATCCAAATCTCTTGAACGCGCGTGTCATGGCGAAGACTTACGGCATTGACATCAATGAGCAGTTCAATCCAGAAAAGCATCCAGTCGACAAGAGAACCAGCATCGAAGGAATTGACTTCTGTGAGGATGTCTTCGACGCTTTAGTCAAAGAAAACGAAGAAATCAAAGTTGGAGAAAAGCGCACATTTTTCTTCTCTCCAGTCCACCCGCAGCAAACAGTGGCGAGACTCAAGTTCTTCAGTACAACCAGGCCAGAAGCTGCCTTCATTACAGACCCCGATGTCGACGCAGAGAACGTGGAGTTTGAGGTGATAAGCCCTGATGTTGGTAAAGGTCTTGACAGAAAGATCGAACTCGATGTGTATTTTGGTGGAACTGAGATCAAAGTTAGCGCTATGGATGTATCATCCGGAAGCTCAGCGAAAGCTGCACTGAGGCTCATCACTAAAGGATAATGTATCTGACAGACTGAACTAACAATATCAGTGAATTGATTAGAGTAAACTTAGTTAATCCGTTAAACTATCACAAAAGAGGTGCTAATTATATTTATTCCGCCTTTATTCCAAATTGTCCAATTAACATTATTTAGTAGTTGTTAGTACTATTTGTTTCGGATTAAGTACGTKTACTCTAACAACAAAATACTAAAGAGAGTATATTTAGTAACGATGATGTATCACTGATCAACTAAAGAGAGCACTTGACAATTTACGAAATATTTGCAGATCAAAAGAGTAAAAATATGATATATACTAGTCAACCAAAAGAGATTAGTAACTAATAATTTACTGGATTTTGTGACAAATGGAAATTATACTGACTGACTGATTGGTAGAAATATGATTTCCATWAAAGCCTTTAAAGCATGAAGATCAAACATATAAAGAAAATATATCCATGGCAACGACATTTAATGTGTGCTGCCTCCTTAACTTACAAAGAGTATCTAATGTTCAGGCTGCTAATGTTATACAATTGCTAGAAGAAAATGGAAACAGTTAAAGATTTAAAACTGACTACAGCCACAAAGTGCYGAGATATGTTTAGGTTGTTTCACACTAGGGAGGGGGCAAATAATAGACAGAAGTAGAGTGGTTTCATAAGCYTGTGAAATAAAGTTTAGCATTCTATGCTTTATGACTCTTTTTACTATATTTTGTATGTTTTTCTTTGTCTACATGATTACACTTTGTTTKATGGGTWAATGAAAACRACCCAAATGTGTTWCAAAGATTAAAAGATGTGTATATGTGCTAAGAAATAAGTTGTAAAAGAGAAACTTTGTAGAYAATTAGTGCCACAAAGTACAGTGACAAATAGTGATCTTGACAAGATTATGGATAATTAATAATTAGATCTTGATGAGGCTATGAATAATTAATAATTAGGTAGATAATTTATGGAAAATCATAGGGTCACCATGAAATGTAAAATGATAGTGATACTGTGACAAGATCAACAAATAAATTAATAAACAATCAATGACAAAATAATAGTTTGATTTAAATTTTATCAACATTAACACAAATTATTTTTCAAATAATTCATTTGCAACTATACAACTCATGAAACACTTGATACAGTGTCCTTTCATTGGAGGCAAACCAGGCTCTGCCCTGTTATTATGGTTTGAGTAAAAATTGAAAATCCTAAAGTTCAGGAAAACAACTCATTTAGAGTCGCTACAAACCTGACATGAACATCAGTTTTTGATACTTTGGTTTAATGGTCATGCACAAAAGAAAAGAAGATAAGTCTTAAGGGGAGCAAGACGATTGTCTACTGAGTTCTCCCAGAGCATTGTCTTCGATTCTTTTGAGCATTGTTTTAGTCAATCAAAATATTAAACTGTTGTATTTAGTCCTGTATTATCAACAATTTATTCACTTTGGTTCAGTAACTGATGTTAAATAGCCTATTATTCTCTTCCAAAATCTGCACTATCAAAATTTCTCTTCACACTATCTCCTGACCAGTCTACTCACCAATACACCATGGCGTGTGTTTTGGACACATCAACATCAACATTGCTATAATTGTAGAGTAAAATTGTTCTGTTTATCAAACTTTAATTCTTAGGCTTCTGTGACATTCCTTTAATTGAATTTTTTGTTCGTTTTTTATTTGTTCACTTTCTTGTTTCATTTCATTGTTAAGATGACTTACAATGGGTGCCTTTGTTCCTATTTCACTTGTAAATTGTCCAACTTTCATTGTCAATCCATACTTTAGGAAGATTTTGTGACATAAACAATATAATTCACAATCATCCAGAATCACTTGGTGTTGCTGTAAGTTTTGAAGTGTCTGTTTGCCTTGTCATTGATTTATGGAATACTTTGTTAGTCARCCATACAACAGCTGCAAATATTTTGATAGGAAACTGACTGTGAAAGGAAAACATTAGAGTCAACACACTTACTCCTTGAAACAAGAAGTACTAATTACTACAACAAAATAGTTTTGATATACTTGTAATAAGAAACAAAGATATCAGCATAAGCTAGTACTAATTTGTACAA